AATACTCATACTAATTAAGGTACCATATGATGTTTCAATACATTATGTAACGTTCCCATCAGGGTAAATATGTCTTAGATCTATTCAAAATGCTAGTTTTTCTTCTTTTTTTTCCCCCCTCTTTTTTCTTTTTCGGTAGTAAAAGTAGTCAGAGTATATCTTTGAGTTATGTAGGGCTTAATTCACTTGTTTGAGTATAACTTTATATCCTTTGACTACCTTCATTTCATTTAGGTATTTTTAATAGGTTGAGTTCCCATGTACATGGAATTCTGGTTTAAAAAGTAAAACTAAGCCAGGCGTGGTGGTGCACACCTTTAATCCCAGCACTTGGGAGACAGAGGCAGGCAGATCTTTGTGAGTTCAAGACCAGCCTGATCTACATTGTGAGTTCAGGACAGCTAGGGCTACAGGGAGACCCTGTCTCAAAAGACAAAAAAAAAAAAAAGTAAAACACATACCTCTTAAGTTGTTGTGAAAGGCTTTGTCAGCTGTCTCGTAGTTTGGTAGCTGGCCTAATAGTTCTGAAGCAGTGCTTCCTTCCATCAGACTGTCATTGAGGACGACTGCCTCCCCATGGACCAGTTTGCTGTGCATCTGATGCCACATTTGCTGACCTTGGCAAATGACAGAGTACCAAACGTTAGAGTGCTGCTTGCAAAAACATTAAGACAAACTCTACTAGAAAAAGGTAGGTGGGTGACTGTATGTGGAGGGGAAGGAAGTTCCTGGACTACATGCAAACAGAATAGTGTGTATTCATAGAAAATAATCTGACAGGAAGATAGATTTAAGATGTTCATGATGGTTTTCCTCAGACTACACAGAAGATTAAAGGGTCTTAGCCTTTTTTTTTTTTTTTTTTTTTTTTTTTGCTCCCCCTCCCCCTAAAGGGTCTTTTAATAAGAACATCAGTGTTTTGGAAATTTCTTTTATCCTGGGCATGTTATTTTTATAACCTAAAATTTAGTGGTCTTGCCAGGCATGGTGGGGCACACCTTTAATCCTAGCAATTGGGAGGCAGAAGCGCAGATCTCTTTTGCAGCAGGGTCTTCCTGTAGCCCCAGCTAACCTTGAACTCACTATGTAGACCTGGTTCAAAGCCAGCCTGGTCTACATAGCAAGTTCCAGGCCAGCTGGGGCTATAAGGAGACTCTCAAAAAAGAAAAAAAACAAAAACCCAAAACCCTTAGTGGTCTTAAAAAAAATTGAACGAGACTGGGTGTAGTAGCGCATGCCTTTTTTTTTTTTTTTTTTTGGTCTTTTTGAGACAGGGTCTCCCTGTAGCTCCAGCTGTCCTGGAACTCACTATGTAGACCAGGCTGGCCTTGAACTCACAGAGATCCACCTGCCTCTGCCTCCTGAGTACTGGGATTAAAGGTGTGCACCACCACATCAGAGGGACTGGGTGTGGTAGGGACTGGGTGTGGTAGCGCACGCCTTTTTATCCCAGCACTTGGGAGGCAGAGGCAGGTAGATCTCTGTGAGACCAAGGCCAGCCTGGTCTACATGTGAGTTCAAGGCCAGCTGTGGCTATAGGAAGATCCTGTCTCAAAAAGACAAAAAATTTAAAAATTGGACAATGATGAGGTTTTGGGAGACAGGTCAGTCTGTAAAGTACTTGCTCTGCACATGTAAGGACCAGAGTTTGATCTCAAGAACCCAGGCATGGTGGCAAGCATTGGTTATCCTAGTGCTAGGGAGGCAGAGACAGGCAGATTCCTGGAGCTCATAAGCCATCCAGTCTAGCCAAACTGATGGGTTTCAGGTTCACTGAGAGAATAAAATAAAGGTAGAAAGAAATCCAGGCACTCAGCATCAAACTATCACCTCCATGTGCACATGTCCCCTACATGCTACACACAAAAACATACATAAACCACACATAACACAAAATTTCTTAAAATTTTTTGAAATGAGGGACTAGCAAGATAGCTTAGTTAAGCAGATTAAGGTACTTGCCACCAAGCTTGACAACTTGAGTTCAATCCCCAGGATACACATGATGGAGAGAACCAGCTCTTGAAAGTTGTCCCCTGAACTCCATACGTGTGACATGGCACACAGGTCCACATAACACTCAATTCATTAAATAAATAACAGGAAACAGAGGCAAGTGGATCTCTAGGCCAGCCTGGTCCACATAGTGAATTCCAGGCTACAGGGAGACCCTGACTTTAAAAAAAAAAAAAAGTTAATAAATAAATGTAATAAAACTTTTGAAATGGACATTGATACATGACTGAAGATGCATTGCCTGAGCTCTCACTTGATAAGTGTGGCACTGTGGCTGGTTGTCCAGGAAACATGTCTGTTTTTCTTTTCTTTATTCATGAGGCAGAAAGACATCCCATAGTATTTGTTTGGCTACAAATAAAGGTCCAGGATTTAGGTTGGTTCTGGTATTCTGACTGCTGGCTCCAAGTGCCACACATATTTGAATATGTACATTCTTGACTGAAGCTCAGAACAAACTTGTAATAAACTTCATATAAGAATAAATTAATATTTTTTCTTTGCTATTCATATAAATTTTGTAAAGAAAATAAAAATATAATTGGCTAGAGAAGAATGCCTTGCTTTTTTCAGAAAAAAAAGAGTATGTATATAGTGTTTAGAAGTGTCTTCCAGCCAAGCATTGTGGCACATACTTTTAATCCCAGGACTGGGAGATAGAGGCAGGTGGTTCTCTTTGAGATCAAGGCCAGCCTGGTCTGCATAGCAAGTTCCAGGCCAGCTGAGGCTACAGGGAGACCCTGTCTAAAAACAAAAAGGGGAAATAAAGTATTTTTACTTTTACCAAGCCAATAGCTAAAAAATGGTGGGGGGGTTGTTTTTTTTTATGTGTATGAGTGTTATGCCTGCATGTAGGTAGGTGCACCCGTGTCGTGCAGTGTCCGCAGAGGACAGAAGAGTCTGTGAGATCCCCTGGAACTGGAGTTAGGGACAGTTGTCAGCTGCCATGTGGGTGCTGGGATTCGAACCTGGGTCTTCTGCAAGAACAGTGTTCTTAACTGCTAAGCCATCTTTGCAGTCCCCAAAATGGTGTTTTTAATTATTACTTTAATACACCTTAGCTCATTCACTACCAAGAGCTTGTGTGTGTCATAAAACAATCATAAATCTCACAGTTCCCTTTTATTATGGTACTTTTTTTCCCTCTAGCAAATCAGCTTGAAAACTGTTTGAGTCAATATGACTTATGTTTATACTTATAGAAAAACAGTATTTATGACTAAGAACTTTTTAAAATATTTTATTTATTATTTTTATGTGTATGTGTGTATTGCCTGCATGTGTGTAAGTGCACCCGTGTCATGTAATACTCAACGGAGGTCAGAAGAGGGCGTCAGATCCCCTGGAACTGGAGTTACAGACAGTTGTTAGCTGCCATGTGGGTGCTGGGATTCAAACCGGGGTCTTCTGCAAGAACATTCAGTGTTCTTAATTGCTGAGCCATCTCTCCAGCCCCAACTAAAAACTTCGTTAAAATTTATTTTTTATGTGTATGTGTTTTGCCCACGTGTATGTAAGTGTACCTGTACATTCATTGCCTTCAGAGGCCAGAGAGGGTGTTGGATCCCCTTGAACTAGAGTTACAGATAGTTGTTAGCTGCCCTGTGGATTCTGGGAACCAAACCTGGGTCCTCTGCAGAAGCAACTGGTGTTCTTAACTCGAGCCATTTCTCCAGTCCCAAGACTAAGAACTTTCTTTGCTTGACTATACTTGACTGAACTCCAGTATCAGACTGATCTTGTGTGTTGCCTATGTCACTTCCAGAATACTTCTTAGCCTCTGCTAGCTGTCATCAGGAGGCAGTGGAACAGACCATCATGGCCCTTCAGATGGATCGAGACAGTGACGTCAAGTATTTTGCAAGCATCCACCCCTCCAGTACCAAAATCTCTGAAGATGCAATGAGCACTGCTTCCTCAACCTATTAGAAAACCCGAACCGTGGTGTCCTTCCTGCTTCCACAAGAGCCAAGGTTTAAGCGCCCTTCACCAGCCTGGGACAGTTGTCGGGGGGAACCTTCCTCTTGCAGCCTCAGTAACAGGTGCAAGTTTGCTTGCTCCCAATACCACGGGTTTTAAGAGTCAAGAGAAAGTACAGTAAAACACTATTATCTTATCTTGACTTAAGGGAAAGTAATTTCTCAGAGGATTATAATTGTCACCAAAGCCTTAACTCGCTTTCATCTTCCTGACTGAATGAAACTTGAATTGTCAGAGCATTTTCCTTCTGAAAGGATGAGGTGCCCAGAGACCTGCATTGCTTTCTCCTCGTTTTATTTAACGACTGATAAATGACATTCTTTTGGCCAGAAGGCGGCTATGCACCGGATATGAAAGACCTTCAGTATTAGCCTAAGCATTTCTTCCAGGCGCAGAGCCTGTTCAGCTCCATGGCCATGCAGCCCAGCCCTAAGTGTGAATAGTTCTTGGCGTGTATAAGTGGAAAAGGAGATTTTTTTTTTCTCCTAAGGGCTTGATGTTAACACTAAAATAGAATCTGATTTTAACTCCTAAATGCAGCATATTGCTGTACACATTTACAGAATGTTTGCTGAATATCTCTCTCCTGATTTTTTTCATGCTGGTCATGACCTGAAGGAAATTTCTTAGCACGAATATTGTATGTCAGGTGTTTTTAACTTGATCATGGTCAGCTCTGAGGTGCAACTTTTAATCCCATGCTGTACATACCTGTGACCACTCTGGGAGTGTGCAGTCTTTAATCATGTTGTTAGAACTGTCGTGGCACAAGTTCTCTTGTCCAAATAAAATTTATTAATAAGATCTATAAAGAGAGATATCACCCACATTTGTTTTCTAAATGTCTGCAAATAAATGCAGTTTGTGACCTGTATTGACGATTTAGCATAAAATGGGGGAAGTAGGTTCAATTTTTTGTCTTTAACTAGTTCCATGGTCTTTAGAATCATTGGTCAGTTCTGCTCTTGGCAGAAAGCAGTGCCTTCTAGAACTCTCACTGCAACCCAAAGACCAGGGAGACCATGAACAGCAGCCTTGGGGATTGCTCTAAAGCTGCCGAAATACCAAAAAGTATCACAGAACCTTGACTTCCTCATCTGTAAAATGGGAATTAGTAAAGCCTTCCATTTCCCACAGGGTTGTTTCCTTAGTGCTGTTTATGTAAATGTTCATTGCTACCACAGGCCATGTGTGAAACCCCATCTGAATCCCTGTGGTGCTTCATGAGTATTGGTTCTACTTTCCCAGCTATGGGAACTCCACAAGTCAGAAGAGAGGTTTCCAAGGACCCTGTATGGGGTATAAGACATAAGCTGTTCCTCTGTAAACCCCTACATAGAAGTCTGTGAATGTCTGTGCAGTACTAATATGAGTGAAGCAATTGATTGTGAAAGATGTTCAAATAGAGAAAGAAATCCAGAGCTAACATGTTTTTTAATGGGTAATGGGCCAGAGCAGTGTGGTTGGCCAGATGGTTGGATCTCAAAAACCTTTGAAAACAGCCTCAGAGCAGAGTTTGTAGGAGAGGGTAGCCTCAGTTTCATTTAACCTGACTTTTAAAGTTCACATTCTCTACTACAGTAATCCACTTTTGTTCCTCAGAATTTTAGTTCTACAATGACATTAGACTCCTACATTAGCAGCTAGCTTTTTAAGACAGTGGCAGTAACTGTTCTAGGAGGAAAAATCTATGGTATGTCCAAGTACAGTGAAGTTTAAAATGTGCAGCTTTAGGGGCTGGAGAGATGGCTCAGCAGTTAAGAGCACTGCCTGCTCTTGCAGACCCCAGGTTCAATTCCCAGCACCCACATGGCAGCTAACAACTGTCCATAACTGCAGTTCCAGGGGACCCAAGGCCCTGTTCTTACCTCCACGGGCACTGACCGCATAACATGGATGTACCTACTTACATGCAGGCAATACACTCATACACATAAAGTAAAATAAAAATAAGTAAATAAAATGAAAAACTGTGGCTTCCTGCCATTTGATACCCTCCTGAGACATCCCTCCAGCCCTCACCCCATAGGCTTCACAGGGTTCAGACTCATTGTAACTTTCGGTCTCGGGGCTGAACACAGAGAGGCACCTGCCTTGTTTAGCAACTTAGAGTACGTTTAAGGCCTTCCAGGTTTGATTGCTCTTTGATGGAATTCAAAATCAGAAAATATCAGCTCCTCACTCAGCAGTTGACATGGTGAGAATGGTTATGAGTGGCCAGCTGAGATGGGTGGGGCAGCAGGAGCAGGAGCCCTTGTTCTGACCTAGCAAGGGTGCTGGATCCTGTCTAATGTACAGTCTTCCCAAGCAGGGTCTGCTAAAAAGAAAACAGATTCAAACAGTCAAGCATAACACCTGCAGAGGTAGACAGTGGAGTCTCCCAGGGGAGAACAACAGCAAACCAATTTTCCTGTTGTGAAAATGAGGACAATGATAATGTATTACCATAATAAACCAAGTTTATAAACAATGCAAGATAACAATAAATACCTAATAGCTACTTAATACTGTGTGGCTAGTCTTAGACTAGTTGGAGGACTGTTGAGAGGGTAAATGCTTATGCCAAAGCACAGCTCTCACTTGAGAGTAAGAGTTTATTTTGGAGCTAAGTATGAGTGACCATGGTTCAGGAATACAGGTTCACGTTACCCCAAATACCATTTTCCTGTGAGATCACAGTTTCATGAAGGTTTTATAGTAGCAGAACAAAGTTATAAATCAAGACAGTTTTCAAATACATTGGTGGGAGCATCAGGTATGTGGGCTACAGCAAAACTGTAACAGGCCTCCCATGTTATCTAGTGTCATTGTAGCTTTTGGATTGATGGAAGCTATGGCTTGCTAAGAACACAGTGCAAAGGTTTTTGATAGTCACAAGCATCTTAGGTCAGACATAGGTGTGGGCAATGACTGGCTTCCAAGTAGACTGAAGATAACACCCAAGTAATTTGGCTTTGATGTGCAACCTCTCTAAACACCAAGTTCTATTATTTGGCCTTGCTGAATGTGACACTGCTGCAGTACATAGCCCTCTCCCACTTCAGTTCATAGTGAGGAGGAAGAAACCATGTTTTTCAGAATTGCTTAGTCCACTTGGTCACCTCTCCCCAGGGGACCTCCAGCCCTTCCTTTCTCCAGAAGTGTTTGTACCTTCTGACCTGTGGAAGCTCAGCTAGTGTTCCATGTGTCCTTCTGGGAGTTTTGCACGTGACCTTTTTTCTTAAAAATTTTGGGATTAAAGTTAACTGCAATACCCAACCACTTTTAGTTTTTCTTGAATTCTGTCTCCAGATTGAAGCTCCTCTATGCTAGTGGACCAGCAGGTAAGATTGGCAGTCCTTGCTACAAAACCTCAGCCTTCAGTGGCTCTTCTGGCTGCTGGGGTGCCTCTGTCTATGGAGGCATCTCAGTGTGGACTCTTAATGATCAACTGTGCCTCCTATGTTAGGGGCATGGGACATACTAACTGGCAGCACAGGATAGAGGCTCTGGCTGAGGGTGCCAAGGCTATTGAACCTAACTCTGAGGAAGAGCACTTGGTTGCTCTTGCAGAGGACCCATGTTACCTTCCCCGCACTCCCATAGCAGCTAACAACCATCCATGACTCCCACTTCCAGGGAATCTGATGCCTTCTTCTGTCCTCCATGGATATTACCTGCCTGGGTGCACTTACATACATATAGGCAGAACACTCATACACATAAAAGTAAAATTGTCAAAAAAATTTTTTAAGTTCTTGACAAGCATATTTGAGGACTAGGGTTCCATAATTTTCCTCTAAGAAAATTATTCCTCTAGTTTCTAAAACTTGACAGAAGACTGGTGATTAAGTTTCAGTCCAGGTATTGTTTTGGATCACTGCTCTGGGTTTGTTTCTACCAAGTCTTTTTGAAATTTTGCTGATTTAAATTTGGAAGATTTGATATTTTTGTGGTTTTTAGTAAATTTACTATATGCATATTTTACCTCAATCAGCTTTGTTCATAGCAATAACACCCCTGATTGTTACTGACTGAACACAGAACAGCTATTGAGTGTTTTTAGACGTTCCAAGAGAACACCAGCAATTCTCAGCAATAATCCCCAAGCCTAGTGTGCACAGCCCTGGAGGCCCCAGCAGATTTATAGCCTTGAGCAGCAAGGAACACATGATGGCGCCTATGTGGTCCTGAGGAACTGGAGCAGAGGAAAGTTCTGCAAGGAAGAAATGTTCCACAGGCAGGTGGTAATGGGAAAGAAAGAAGGGCACTTTCATCTGGGAGCCCATGATGAAAGGGAGGTGTGCAGAGGCTGCTGGCCTAGCCAGCTTGGCTCTTCTGCATGGTCATTAAGATTTTCCTCAGTTTCTTGTGACTTTTTAATTAGTGAAGAGTTGGTCATTTAGAAAGGTGTCAGGTGTGAGCATGCACCCAAGTCTGCTGTGAATCCAGGCTGCTCCAGCAGATCAACTTAGCAGGGGAATGGTGGAGCCTAGATCTTAGCAAGAATCAATTGGAAAGCCTGACTGAGGAGGATGCTGGTGCTTTCTTCACCTTCACACTGACTCTTCATGTAATTTTGATATCTTGCAGTGCTCAAAAGAATGCTAAACATCTACCCTGTTTGTTATTTTCTCAAAGCAAATCAGTGTTTTCAAAAGCATTGAGCCCAGGTCCACAGCCCACTGGGCAGTGCCAGTCTGTTGTGACCACAGTAGGCAGAGTCAAACCTACACCTAGGAAGGCACCTTGAGAACAAAAGCCAGTCAAACAAAAAGCAACCTGTCCCACCTGGCTCACTGTTGGGTAGCTGTTCTCCCTTGCACCAGAGTACTTGGCAACTTAGGGATCAGAACCATCCTATTAACATCTCCTTAGCATTTAACATTAGAGAGAGCGAGCCCAACCTTGTCAGTTCTGAGTCCTTCCTTCTAGTCCTTCCTCTCCAGTCTGGCAATCAGAATTTCATGCACTTTGGCCCGTATTTGGTTGCTTTGGGTATTCTCAAATAATAGCAGAATCCATTGTGCAGCACTTAGGCCCAGTAACCTCAGTAGTGGATGCAATCAACCATCTATTGAGACACCACAGCAGGGTGGCCAGATGGAGCAAATCAAAATGTAACACACTTAATAGTTACATGGGACATAACACTAAAAACATTTAATCTGAAACTCAGACATAAGGGGTGTTCTGTTTTACATGACCACCCTATGGCAAGGCCAACGAAAGTCAAGAGGCTGAAGCCCAAAACAGCCATAGTCCCCTCCAGGTTAGCCCCCCCCCACCCCCCAGGAGATGTCCCAGTGATAACCAGTGGAGCCAGGTGCATGGCTGGCCTCAGTTTCCATGGGATTTTTAACTTCCTTCTCTACAACTATTCTTTACATGTGAAGTCTGAGCAAATAGCTGTAATGTAACTTTTTTTTGTCATCTTTTTGAGACGGGGTCTCCCTGTATCCCCAATTGGCCTGGATTTCACAGAGATCTACCTGCCTCTGCCTCTGCCTCTGCCTCCCAAGTGCTGGGTGGGACTAAAGGTGTACACCACACCCAGCTAGCAGTAATAAAATCTTCTTAAATCTGAGAAATCAAGACATTTTGGTGACCTTTCTTAGATGGCTAGAGACCTCCCAAAGGGGTTCCTGCGTTCTTGCATGGAGTCTCTGACCTGGGGTCTACAGGCTCCAAACCCAAGCAGTAAACAGGCACCTGTGCATGCAGTTCTGAGGAGAATCACTGATAACCCTCTATATCCATCCACCTGTTCTGACTCTTGGCACCTCTAGGCCCAGGCTGACTGTGTAGACACACTAGTTTCTCATCTCAAGCTGTGGTGACCATAGACAGGCTGCAGGGCATTGCCAGCTGCCACTTGGAAAACAGTGGGCAAGAAGTAGTATGTGGCTGGCCTTGAGATTAGGAACAGAGCCATCTAAAGAATGTTGGTGGGTTGGAGAAATGGCTGTTAGTAGACTGCCTGCTACACAAGCATGAGGACCTGCGTTCAGATCTCTAGCACCCATGTAAAAAGCTAGGCAACAGTGGTGCATGCCTGTAGCCCCAGTGCTAAGTAGGGGGAGAGACAGGCTGATCCTTGAACTCACTGGCCAGCCCATCCAGCTAAATCAGAAAATAAAGGTGGAAAGCAATCAAGGAAAGACACCCAGTGTCAGCCTCTGACCCACACATACACACTCATTCACACACATAGGCCCACACCAACAAGTACATACAACACACATTTAAAAAGAAAAATAAAAAAGAATGTTGATGTTATCTGCCACTTGGCTGTTCCCCCATGAAGTTTAACAAAATGGCAAAGTGGAGCTCATATACTGAGTGGGGAAAATGAGCCTAAGGCTAAAAACCTTACACTAAGGACTTTACCACTTTTTAATGTAAACCTTTGAAGTGATGACTGTCTTCATTTTGTCATTGTGAAAACGAAGTAACACTGCTTACCAGAGGTGAAGAAAGGCAAGGCGTTTCCTATACCCCCCTGGAAGCCAGTTTTAGTAGGAGACCTGTACATAGCTAAACAGCCTGAGCTACAGCACTGCCAGGTGCCAAGCTAATCTTAACCTGAACCACACACTGAGCAGAAGCCTGCACCCTGCTGGAGCAGAAGCAAAGAGCCAAGGACATGATATTGAACAGAAGCAAGTAATTCATTAAATCAGTCCTCTCCCATGGTTGCTGAACTAATCTAGTAACAAAGCTAAGACTACAGAGAGCAAGTATCCATGGAGGTGCAGGCTTGGGGGTGGGGGGAGCATGAATATAGCAACAGCGTCTTGGCGCTCTGCAAAGAGCAATGTATGGAATTTAGGGTTCTCTTGCCAATCTGGCTCTACTTCCTGGGTCTCCTAATCTCTAGAACCATTTTCTAACTGTGCATCCCAGGGACAATGGTCATTTTATCTACAAGTGTGTGGTCTTACTCTGAAATCTTCACCTAGCTGATACAGGCTCTTGCATTTGTGCCTCCAGGCTCAGTGGTCAAGAACACTGGTTGTTCTTGTAGGAGACCCAGGTTCGAATCCCAGCACCCACATGACCGCTAACAACTGTCCAGAACTCCAGTCCCAGGGGATCCAACAGCCTCTTCTGTCCTCCACGGGCATTGCACAACACGGGTACACTTACCTACATGCAGGCAATACACACATACACATAAAATAAAAATAATAAAATGAAAAAAAAGAGTAATGACTTAATTTCCTTGCATCTGAGCTGAAGCTACAGAAACATCTGCAAACTGCCCTGGAGGAAGGAAGGCTTCAGAAGCCCAGTCTGCTGCTGGGTCGACCTGCCTGGTCCCAAAAACATATTTTGTTTTGGTGTATGTACATGTTTGTGTGAATGTCTGCAGATGTGGAGACCAGAAGTGGACATCAGGTGTCCTCTTTCAATCACTCTCTACCATATTTTTTGAGATAGGCTCGCTCACTGAACTTGGAGCTCACTCACCAATTAGGCTAGGCTACCTGGCCAGTGAGCCCCAGGGTTCCTCCTCTCTGCCTCCCCGGAGCCAGGGTTATAAGCACACACTATTGTGCTTGGCTTTTTATGTGAGTAAAGGGGATTCAGACTCAGGTCCTCATGCTTTTGTGACACTTTACTGACTGAGCCATCTTCCCAGCCCCACATCCAGCTTTGTGTATGGAGATAGAGGGGCAAGGACTGGGTAAGGACCAGGATCTACTGCTTACATGACATTTTCCTTTTCACTGCAGGTATTTCTGTGCATTTCTGAACATTTCTTTCAGCCTGAAGAGATAGTTGATAAAGTACTTGCAGCACCAGCATGAAGACCTCTGAGTTCACGCCTGAAAGAAATGTTCTCTAGGACAGAAATACCTGCAGTGAAAAGGAAAATGTCATGTAAGCAGTAGATCCTGGTCCTCACCCAGTCCTTGCCCCTCTATCTCCAGATCCCTGATGCTAAATGTAGTCACAACAGGGTGTCTAGAAAACCTTCTGTAAACTGAAACTCACCTACATAAATTTAGTTGTGTAGTTTATGCAAAATAGAATATCCAGCAGTTTCTCATGCTTTACATCTTAGATATTTTTAAATATTTATTTTTATATTGTCTACATAAATGTAAGTGAACCCATGTCACGCCATGCCCACAGAGGTCAGAAGAGGGTGTTGGATTCCCTGGAACTGGAGTTACAATTGTTAGCTGTCATGTGGGTTCTGGGAACTGAACCCGGGTCCTCTGCAACAGCAGCCAGTGCTCTTAGCCACTGAGCCATCTCCAGTCCCTACATCTTATTTTTAATTACTTTATGTGTATGAGTATTTGCCTACATGTAAGTGTACCCATGCTTGCAATGTCTGCGGGAGCCAGAAGAGGACGTTGGATCCCCTGGAACTGGAGTTTTGACAGTTGTTAGTTGCCATGTGGGTCCTCTGCAAGAGCAACCAGTGCTCTTAACCACTGAGCCCCTAAATATTTTAATTGTGGAATTTTAAAAATAAACAGGAAATGAACACTCTTTTTACCAGTCCATTCCTAGCATGCTAACTGTACACAGTCCTCATTTCACATTGTAAACTCAACCTCTGAACTCCAGCACCCATGGCCAGCACCCAGAACCTGGAATTGACCTAGACAAAAGGCAAAGCATGTTTCCCAACAGAACCACAAACTAAACTCAGAACTTCAGAGCTCATCAAGTACACACTGAGCCTGTCAGCTGGGTCTGCAAACAGGCTCACTTAGCAGTGAGCATGGGTGAAGAAGGGTGGAAAGCAGCTGCTGATGTAAACGGAGTGGGGGGGAGCACATATATGGAGTGGTGTTCACATGTGCAGGCAAGGAACACAACAGAACATCTTGTGCACACTTGATCTGGAAGTACCAACACCAGCTCTGCCAGCTGCAGTGGGCACAATGTTTCACAGAAAGAATGTATACCAAAAAGGCTTGCTTTTTTTTTCTCAAATGGCTGTTGAATTTATTTGCTTGATCAATAATGGTCCTGGCAAAAATTAGTTAACCAACATTGAGACATTTGTAATGAAATACTAATTTTAAAAACCCATGACACCTTGATAGAAATTAGAGTTTACATAAACAAAAAGAAATCTTCCAATATTGCCAGCAAATACAAAATGAATGTACTAAGTCTGACAGGACACACAGCAAGAAGGCGTTTATACATTTATATTTGACACCTGATCATATTTTCAGTCACCATAATATCTTCTCTCCAGATTTAAAAAAATAGTATGCTGATTTCTATAACAAAGCTTTTTTTTTTCCCGTACAAAAATCAAATAATGGCCAACAAGTCACAACAGTGCAATAGGTAGAGGATAAAAAAAATCGCATTGAACAGGTGTTGAAAATAAATACTAGGAAGAGGAGCGGGGGAGAAGGAGGACAGAGAGGAGGGAGGAGAGGAAGAAGGAGGGAGAGGAGGTGACGGCTAGAGCCCTCGTGTGGGTTGGTTTCATCACCTTAGTGTGGGGTTTGTTTTCAGAGCCACAGGTTTGACCTCTCATGGGGGCCACTCATCTGACAGTGCAACCAAATCCAGCTGCCTAAGAGTCAGACCTCCCAGAAGCCTCGGAGCAGTCATCTGATCCGAGAAGCAAAAATGGGGTGGGATGAATCACTGCTTTTTTTTTTTTTTTTTCTCTACTCTTCAACTGTGTCAGGGAGTTCCTAAGTAGGTTCCTTGAGATAATATGGCCAATTTTAAACTTTAAGAGCATATATGGCTTATTCAGGCAAAGAGACATGTACATTCTAGCCCAAGCAAGCAACTAAAAGCATTATAGTTTTCCTGGAAGGTCAGTTGTGTAAAAGGTTTCTGGTTTGAGAAGCATTCTCCATGTGAATGCCTCAAGTCAAGGTGGTCGCCTTCAACCACCCTAGTGGAAAGGCTTTTACTGATCCCTGGCAGTGAGTAACCGGGACCTGCACTGCCGAGGATGGTGGCAGGTTCCACAAGGAGCCTCTGTCTGCAACCAAACTAGGGCATCCTGGTGACTCTGCTACAAGACTTGGTTTAGAACTGTAAAAGAGAGTGTTATTACAGGGTGGGTAAAAGGAACACCCAGTGAGAGCCATTTTGACCAGTCAGAAAATAGGAGGCAGCTCCCCACAGAACAATCTGCACCAAGAAGGTGTGAAAGGCACAAGCAAGAGTGGCCAGAGATCCTGCGGGGCTGGCAAGACCACCAGCGTCACAAGGCAGGAGCAGAAGTGACCTGGTTTGGTTCTCCCCCCCTTGGATGAGAGAGATCCTGATTCTGGTGTGAATTTAAAAAAAAAAAAAAAAAAAAAAAAAAAAAAAAAAAATTTTTTTTAAAAAAAAAAAAAAAAAAAAAAAAAAAAAGCAAAGACAATTTTTGGTTTTAAAAGAAGCCACTCAAGAGTTAAAATAGTTATTTTTAACAAAGAAAATTAATTTTCAAATAAGCTGACACTATCTGGAAACTCATGTGTCCCCTACAAGCCCCTAGTCGTCCAGTGCTCCACTCTCCCAGGACCTGAGCCTGACAAGAAGTCAGACGTGTGAAAGAGGAAGCATCTCTGAGAAGAGCCTTTACAGAATGTACAGCAGGAGAGCCTGAGACTCTCATTACAGTAAGATGCACAGGGCCTGGCGGTGGTGGCCATGGCTCAGATGGGCGTCTCCTTCCGGTCTTTGCTAGGCGAGGGCTTGACCTGCTCCTTGCCTGCCTTTGGCTGGTCTTTAGCTGCTTTCACCTCCAGGACACCTTCACGGGGTGCTGCGCCCCCGCCCCCGCGCCTCTCAGACTCCTCGTCCTCCTGCACCTGCTGCTCAGACTTGGCTCGCTGCATCTGAAGCAGCCGAAGCTGCACTCGCAGCTCGATGATGGCCTCGCGCTCCTCGTGAACTGCTTGGTTCAAGTGATTGTTCTTTATCTTGAAGAATGACAGAAAGGGCAGTTACCACTTAAGCAAGGTCAGAAGGACTGTGGATGAGGACAGCACAGTCAGCAAGGCATCCTACAGAAGATTCTAGTTCTGTTTTAGCCAACCTAGCTTGTGAAACAAGACAAACAGGAATATACAAAAGACTACACCACACTTCAACTCCGAATGGGTAAGAATACAAACTATGCTTGCAGTTACTGAAGAAAGAGTAAATACATCTGGCAAACAACGTTCAACAGAAAGCACTTGTTTCAGTATTTTAGTGTTTGAAATAATTTTTTTCTTAACCTGGCTTCTGAACAGCCTTCAAGGAGAACAGAAGTAATTTTGCAGCAATTAGGGAAGGGAATTAAAGCTATGGATAAAAACCAAGATTTATCTCAGATGTCAAAATTTTTGTGTCTATGGGTACATCTGAAATGTGCTACTCAGTCCATAGAAAACCACACTCAATTCTAAATGGTGTTAGTCCTTCAACAGTTTGGATAACTCAGAAGAGCAGCTAATCCCAAACTCCTGTCAACTTCCATTTCTGCAACAGCTGCCCACCATCCATCAGTCTTCTCCTACCTCAGTACTTAGCCAGCATCTCTTGCAGTTAGATATACCATATGACCTTTGTTAATGGGGTAACCCTGAATATTGAGTTCCACTTGCACACCTTGACATGAAACTAGGTATGCCTTGATCCCGTCCCTCTTCCTAAAAAACAGGCCAAGACTCAGAGTAGCCACTCTGGTCCTCAAGTGGAAAAGGCTTGTGTGAATGATGGTCCTACACCATCTGCACAACAAACCACTACTACTAATTCTGCTTAGGACTGTAATAAGTTCCATAAAATGAAATCAAACTGAGGAACCAATGTGCTCTTTCTAGAGAACAGAAGCCCCAGAAACCCAGATCTCACCCCTACTTACTTCTTCCCCAGGACATACCCTGCTCCAACAGGGCCTCGGGTCCTTGCAGGCAGCCTCACCTAATGCAGGTCTATACCTACTGCTTTGTGTAAGACCACAAGAAAACTTTGTCCCTCACTTTATCCACAGGCCAATTCAGGAGACTTTCCTTCCTCCACTACTGTTTCGTCCTTTCTGAGAGGATGAAAAGCTGCTCAAAATGGCAGCTAGGTAACAGGCTTTTGGCAAGACTGGACAGAGAAAGTTCTGTTTGGTACACTAAAGTCAGCGAGGCCACACTACAGACAGTCTACAACACATCATGCTGGGAGAGACGTTCCCCCAAATTCCTCTCCACAGCCTCCAGAGGAAAAATAGGTGGTCTCAGCGACATTTTAGAAGTCTGTGATTCCTGGCCATTTCCCTCCCAAACTCACTTCCAGCTCTTCATTTTGTCTCTGCAAGTCTTCCAAAATGATCTGTAGCTCCTCCTCATCCTCACTCTCACTCTCACTTTCAGAGGAGTACTCCTCAGTTTCGCTCCTTCCATGCTGTTGGCGACTGTGAAGGGAGACAAGGGAACTTTACAAGTGTGCCTGGCAGCCACTCTGCATTTTCAAGATCACCAGCACTTGTGGATTAGGTACAATGGTGTTTTTAAGACCTGATAAGTAAGAAACTTAAAGTGATTCATTTCAGAAGCCCAGTTCTTTTACTTGAAGGTCTGAGAGCTAAAACAGTTTATAGTAAGCACAACATGACTGGAAACTTCCAACACTGTGACACTCCTTTACCTCTGGATCTCCGCAATCTCTGCTCGGAGGCGTTCAATCTCTTCTTTCTCCGAGGCAATCTGCCTGCGCAGAAACTGCTCCATGGTCAGGAGCTCCTCCTGTTCAGTCAGGATCTCATTCTCCTGAAACGATGCACTGGTCAACACCTTTCAGAGCTCTAGCAAAGGGAACGCCACCTTTTCGGGGTCTCCCACATTGCCTGACTTGCTCAGTCCCACTCTGTGCTGAACACATGGGGTACGACTACCTACCACACAACCAAAAACATGCCATTGCCTCAGAATCAAGACAGGGAACAGAGTTATTTTGAGACTAGGTTTCTCTACAAAATGCCATGCAGGAACCTGGTGTGCCCCTTTTCAAAGGCTCCCTTACCACACCAGGACAAAGCCAGGATCAAAATTTCAAACTCTGCTTTGGCTTCTTGGGGGCTGAAGAGCTGGCTCAGAGGTTGAGATTACTTGCTACTCTTCGAGAAGACCCAAGTTGGGTTCCCAGCACTCACATCAGGCAGCCACACAGCCACCTATAACTCCAGTTCCAGGGCATCTGATGCCTCTGTAGGTGTGTGCACACACGTGTGTGCACACACACAGTAAGTCTTTAAAATCTGCTTTTCCTTTCTATCATGATTCAAGATCACACTGACTTTTGATAGTGTCACTAGGAAAAGAAGGACCCAAAAGGCAGATGTGTGGCTGTTATCAATGTCAAGTTTAACGCAAGTTTAAGGTTAAAGAAATCTTATCTCTGGAGCTGGAGAGATGGCTCAGCAGTATGACAACTGTATGAAAAGAAAGAATCACTACCTGCTCCCAATTCACAGGGTCCTCCTGCTAGAGAATAGCTGTAGCACAAGCAGCACTTAGGGAACAGCAAAATTCTGGCTATGGGAATGAGAGGCTGGAGGCGAAGAGTTTCGGTGTTTCCTCCCTCATAGGTATCCTAGGATCTGTGGTGAAGGCCACCATGGCTACATGCCAATGCATACTGAACGGCTCTGAGACCCTGCTTTTCCTAAGAGTCCATGAGCACACAGATGCTTTTCCTTTGCCTCAGGATGCCTATAAAGTTAATATGCCAAGAAGCCTCACCCTGAAATAACATCATCTGCAACTTCATTCTCTTCCCAAAGAGTTTCATGGCTTTGCTGAACAAAACAATGTGTTTTTCCTAAGTAACGGAAAAAGACTGAACCCTCGGCTGTGAGTGGTCCACACACACGAGCTTCTGAAAGCCTGGACAGACATACCAGAGCCTCAACTGCACTCCTTCTACTCCATTCTAGTTTAAACTCTGGAAAATTCCAGAACAGAATAAGGCTGGTCTGAATTCAGAAAGAGAATCAAGCTCCAACTTCAGCTCGATGCCTAGAATATAGTAGGTTCAACAATCAATGAAGAAATGGCAAGACAATCAATCTGTCTTCAATAATTATACCTGCAAAGAATAAAATCAAAATATCTAAAAGCTGGGCGTGATGGCACACACCTTTAGTCCCAGCACTTGGGAGGCAGAAGCAGGCAGATCTTTGTAAATCAGGGAAAATAAACATAGACTTTAAAGTAAATCACTTAGAACAAACTGCTAAGGAGAGACTAAGCAGAAGGTAGCTTCTTTCTCCATGTTGACATTTTAGCAAACGAAACACAGGGTAGGGCCACATAAATAGGTACTGTCCTTTGGAATCACTTTACAATTTTGGTTAACAAATTCTGTGGTTCAGCTTCTGTTTGAAAATTACCATTAAATGACTTATGAAATTAAAGAGTTTAGCTTACCTGGGCAAGAAGGATATTTATAACTTCCTCATTTTCATTCATTTCTTCTTTGGAAACATCCTCTTTTGAAAGACTGGCTATCTCTTGTGCAATCTTGGTTTCACACTCCTGTCAAGAAAGACAAAAGAACTGCCAACCCACAAGTAACACATTCCATAAATAATCACTGGCAAGCTAGAAGTTTCCTTCTTTCCAGAATTAAAGAAAATCCCAGAAACAGTCAGATGAACTGTCTACAACAGTGATGGGCATTTGCTAACTGGGCTTAGATTATAATGTGGGTAAGAGATGGCAAGATGGCACAGCAGGTAAAGGCACTTGCCACTGAGCCTGACTGAGTTCGATTCCCCAGGACCCATGTGACAGGAGAGAACGGACTCTCACAAGTTGTCCTCTGACTTCTACATTTACACGCAAGCACAAACAGATAAAACTTTTTTTTTTTTTTTTTTTTTTTTGGCGTTTTTGAGACAGGGTCTTCCTGTAGCCCCAGCTGGCCTGGAACTCAGTACGTAGACCAGGATGGCCTGGAACTCTGCCTCCCAAATGCTAGGATTAAAGGCGCCCGGCCACAGATAAAACTTTTTAGAAGTAAAAAAAGGGGGCGGGGGGGGAGGAGGAAAGACATGGGTTCCTGGGTCTTTGACTGCACTGTGAAAACTGTTCAGTTCTGATTGATGACGCCCTCCATGTATGTTACTATCTGTGATGCTGGGGGGGGGGGGGGGGCTGCTGCTGAGGGTGTCAATTTTAAGTGTCTGCTTTATTTCACCAAACATCCAATCAAGTAAGCACCACTCTCATGTTATAAAACATCCCCTTGGGCTCCCCCACCACCTTTTGGCTCCTAGCAACCATGGACCTGCTTTCTGTCCCTATGGTCTTTCTTTGTAGTTTCACATAAACTCAATAAGTAGGCTTTCTCTGGCTTCTTCCTTGGCTTGCTTAAGGATGCTTCTACCTTTTGTTTGTGTCAGGAGCTGCTGAGTGATGACCACATTATGAATGCACCCCAATTTGTTTCTCCACTCACCAGCTCATATTGTGGTCTCAACTGATAGTGGGGAATCCAATAAGTGATACTACTACTGTCTGTATGTCACTTATCCCTCAAAAGTGGGGTCAGCATGATGGAACCTAGGCTTATAGCTAAGTGGAATAGCATGTGCTTAACAAGCATAAAAATAAATAGAAGGCAAGAAGGCAAGAGAGGGAAAGGGGGGGAGAAAACAACTGATAAAGTGAAGGCATCTCCCTGTTCATACTCCTTCTGGTTGCTATACCATGATTGTGTGTGTGTGTGTGTGTGTGTGTGTGTGTGTGTGTGTGTGTGTGAAGGCCACATGTCAATGTTGGGTATCATTCTTCAATCACCTCTCTACCTTATTTTTTGAGACAGGGTCTCTCACTGTAACTGGAACTCATGGATTCAGCTACACTACAAGCTCCAGGGATCCTCCTGTTTCTTCCTCCCCAGTGTCAGGATGACAGACACACACCACAGTACTTGGCTTTTAATGGATGCTGGGGCTTGAACTCAGGTCCTTATGTTTGCATAGCAAGCACTTTACCAACCAAGCTATCTCCCCTATATCACTATTATAATAGCCCCTATGTGACTATTCTTTTATTCAAATTTGATACTCAACTAAGAGAAGCAAAAGCCAAGCCTCCACTAGCCCTGTCCTAGGTCAGGGATCAACAAGGGTGGGGCTGAAGAGATGGCTCAGAAGTTAAGAGCACTGGCTCGTTCTTGCAGAGGACCCAGGTTCAGTTCCCAGCACCCACATGACGGCTAACAACCATCTGCAACTCCAGCTCCAGGGGCTCTGATGCCCTTTTCTGACCTCCTCAGGCAATGCATGACACAGGTGTATTTACATACATGCAGGCAACACACTCATACACAAAAAATAATTATAAATCTTTTTTAAAAAAGATCAAGTAGTCGGGCATGGTGGCGCATGCCTTTAATCCCAGCACTTGGGAGGCAGAGGCAGGCAGATCTCTGTGAGTTCAAGGCCAGCCTGGTCTACAGAGTGAGTTCCAGGACAGCTGGGGCTACAAGGAGACCCTGTCTCAAAAAGACAGAAAAAAAAAAAAAAATCAACAAGTACAATCTGCCAATGAAACTTGGGCAGTCAGTCACTAAGACCTGAGTCTAAAGCCAGGAAAGGTGGCCTACTTAGGAGGCAGAGGATCAGAAATTTAAGGTCATCCTCAACTACAGGACAAGTCTGAGACTACTGGTCCACATAAGACCCTGTCTCAAAAAAAAAAAAAAGAAAATACTGTAGGAAACAAAAGAACAAAAGTCAGACAATCTACTGAGCTGTAGAGAAGGATGAAAAATATGCCAAGGGCGCCTGCTAGATTGTATGTCCTGGAGTCTGGAGTGCAGGGCAGGTGTCAGAATTTTACCACTGCGTTCCTTCTGACAAAGCAGACACAAGCCTGTAAACTTGAAGCAAAAGGGCTCAGGTGACTGTCTTTAACTACAACCAGAACAGTCACTATTCCACTCACCAAGTCTAGAAGTGCTAACTAGTGGCTGCTGAATATGCTATTTGGATCCTGTGGTAGGATCTGTGTATGGAGTGCAACATGTTCCACAGGTATGGGATTTTAGCTTTAATGTGTCTGGGAAAGTAACAGTCCAGAATCAAACAACACACACTAAACTAATAAGAGATCAGAAGTCTGATCTGTGAACTCCAAACACATCAGTAGCTGCACCCTGTTCTTCCTGTTACTGGGTGATGGAACTCCTCCTAGACTCTCCAGGAGAACATCATTACATTCCTGAAGAGCTGGAGTTAACTCATTCGAAACGTAAAATCTCTCAACCTTAGAAAGTTCTATCCACAGATACAATCACGTAGGAAAAGAAAAATCACCTTTTTAATAATAATAGTAAAGATCTTTTTAAACTTAATGAAACATTTGACTCATACCAGACTGAAGTATGAATAATACAGAATAAGAAACATTTGAGTGAATAAATTTCCCACCAGAGACTTTTACTTTAAGAGACATGTACCTATTACATTTAAAAGACATGACTTAGTTCATTCTTAGGTTTCACTACACATGGCGCACCGCAACATGACTCACTTGTCTTTTCGCTTCTCTCAGTTTTCTTTTGAGGGCTGTCAGAATTCTTTGTACTTCCCATAATCTTTCTTCTTTAGATAAATCCTTTACCCCACCCTGCAGATCTCGGTGTAAACAGTTCAAAAGAAACTCCTAGAAAACAATAGTACACCTGGAGTACTGTTCTGTGTCTTGTTATCTAAAAATAGCACATGCAATTTCTACAGATTCAGAACCAACTGCCATTTGGCATCACTGAAGGGAAATAATAGCAACAATTGTCTTCCCAAAGGTGCCCCGACTTGGATCCTCCAAATACGGAAGGCTTCCCCTTATCTGTTTTACCTAGGACTTAGAGCTTCATTCACTTATTTCTACCAGTTCAACAGTAATTAATTCACCTCCCTGTTTCACCTTTCCTCCCCACATCAACTGGTAAGAAGTGAGAACTCAGAGCAGGGAACTCAGAGAAGAAAAGCAGGGATTCGCTGTCATGAAAATCAAATGCAGGGCTGGAGAGATGGCTCAGAGGTTAAGAGCACTGACTGCTCTTGCAGAGGATCTGGGTTCAATTCCCAGCACCCACATGGCGGCTACGAACTGTCCTTAACTCCAGTTCCAAGGGAATCCGAAGCCCTCTTCTGACCTCCCTGGCACTGAAGGACATGGGTGCACTCACATACATGCAGGCAATACACTCATATACATAAATAAAAATAATAAAATACTTTAAAAAAAATCAAATGTATGTACATTTTTGGTCTTGAATTCTTATCCAATTTCTCTCTCTCTCACACACACACACACACACACACACACACACACGTACACACATGAACACATGCACATACACCACTCAGTGGTTTTTTTGTTTTGTTTTTTTAAATCAAAGTAGGATAGTGGATAAGCTCAGGATTTGAGCTAAATCTTGTATAGCCTAGAAATCATGTCAGAGTCAATACCTAACTTCCCTTATTTCTAACATCTTATCTATAAAATATGGTAGATAACAGCACCTTGTCCAGAAAAGCAAACATTTCTAAACCTTTAATAAGGTGCCTGGCCCTGGGCTGAGTCCTTCCCCTGTACTGACCTATTTGGGAACTTCTCACACTAATCCCTTGAGAGGATCCATTTTAAAACAGGAATACCAAGGTTTAAGGAAGTCAAACAATTTGCCTAAAATTACTGTGTAAAGAAGGAGCAGAGCAGAAATCTAAAGTCAATTCTTTTAGTTTAGAATCCTATGCTATTTCCAACATAATATTCTGGCTTCCATGGCATGAACTAGGGTCAGCTGAAAAGGTACCATGGAGAGTATGCTCCCAGGGCAGGATGGAGCTCAATTGGTAGAGTGCTTACCCAGCATGCATAAGGTCCTGAGTCTGATCCCAACACTGCATAAAACCAGCTGTGGTGGTACATGCCTACACTCCCAGCACTCAAGAGGTAGAGGCAGGCACACAGGAATCACTACTCAATAAGCAAGGGCTAATCACCCTCACCTCCACAGCCCATGGTGGCCAGCAGAGGCAGCGCATACCTGTCTCCTGATCTCTTCCTTGATGCCTGCCTGGGTCTCTGGCAGTGTGGGCATGGTGGCCATGTTGGACCAACGCAGAGGTCTCGTCACTTGCTTTAGTACCACATTTCCAAAGAGCTCTTGCACATGTGTGAAAAGCACATACAGGACACGATTGCTGATCTATGGAAAAGGAGATTTTAGATTTGCATAAAACCATTACAATAATCTTTTAATTCATTTGTGTCTATCGCATAGTACAACCTTTACTACAAACAGAAGAAAATTCTCCACAAGGAGGACAAGACACACTTTACTATTTAATGACCAACTGAAGAAGAAAATGTGAAACTGTGAGTTTAAGTCACATGCTCAAACACCACAGGAACTAGCAGTAGGAGAAAGTAAAAGCATGAAAAGGAAGCAAAAGCTAATCAGTTTGCCTTTTTCTATTACTACATTAACTGATTTAAAACATCTAATGTCCATTTCTTCTTCCTTTTTTTTTTTTCGGTCTTTTTGAGACAGGATCTCCCTGTAGCCCCAGCTGACCTAGAACTCACTACATAGACCAGACTGGCCTTGAACTCACAGAGATCCACCTGCTTGCCTCTGCCTCCTGAGTGCTGATATTAAAGGCGTGAGCCACCACACCCAGTTCTAATGTTCATTTCTAACATACTCAGAGACCTTTCCACATACAAGTGGCTCTCCTGCAGATCAGTGGGAGTCAAGAGCACCTTCAGGTGTGTAGAGCTTGCAGTCTCCTGGGCAATAAGCACCACCAGCATTCCGTGATGTTCCCATGCTAGGAGGCCAGTACTGCAGGCTGCATGAACATCTAATAAAGAACTTTCCTATCTCAAACTCTCTTACAACTCACTTGGAGTTTCTGTAAAGAATGCTAATTAGCAATACAATGTTGACCAGAGTCTGAAATCCAGACTAACATGAATGATCATTATATTTGAGAAACTTAAGAAATCATTTGCTTCTAAAACATAGAAGTAATGAAAGGATCTTTGGTAAAAGAAAACACTTTAGTGTGTGTGTGGTTTTTTTTTTTTTATGTGTATGAGTGTTAAGCCTGGATGTAAGTAAGTGCACCCATGTCGTGCAATGCCTGTGGAGGAAAGAAGAGGCTGTCGGATCACCTGGAACTGGAGTTAGACACAGTTGTTAGCTGCCATGTGGGTGCTGGGAATCGAACCTGGGTCTTCTGCAAGAACAGTCAGTGTTCTTAACCACTGAGCCATCTCTCCAGCTCCTATTTTATTTTTTAAAGACCGGGTCTCACTATGTAGCCCCAGCTGACCTGGAATTCACTATGTAAATCATCCCTATCTGGCCTCAATCTCAGTTATCTACCGGCATCTGCCTCCAGAGAGCTAGATTAAAGGTGTGCACCACCACACCTGGCTAGAAAACACTTCCTTACAACAGTAAATGAGTTACATGGTTAGGACTTTATATACTGGTCAAAAAGAGGGCTTCAAATAAAAAATGCAGCTACAGTAAAATATCAGTAATTCTAAAGGCAAACATATTCTGTGACAGCATCAACTGAACAGCTTTAATAAAGGGAGGACAGTGGCTGGGGAGATAGCTTCGTCAGCAAAGCGCTTGCCAAGCAAGCATGAGGACCTGAGTTCAACCCCTAGAAATCACATAAAAACGTTGGGCATTGTGGTGGTTGAATGAGAATGTCCCCTATAGGCTCCAAGTATTTGGACATTGTATCCCCAGTTGGGGGTGCTGTTTTGGGAGGTCTTAGAAGGTGTGGCCATGCCAGAGGAAACTGGGGGCGGGCTTAGAGAGTTCTTAAGCCTTGCCAGATCTCCAGTCACTCTCTTGCTTCCTCTGCCTGCTTGTGAGAGCTTAGCTTCCGCTCCTCCTCCAGCCACCTCTGCCACCATGCCTCCCCGCCACGATGAACTCTTGCCCCTTTGGAACCGTAAATTCAAATAAATGCTTCCTTCTATAAATTTCTTTGGTCAGTGTTTCTATCACAGCAACAGAAAAGTAACTAATACTGACATGGTGGTGTATACTTTTAATCCCAGTCCAGGGGAGACAGAGGCAGGGGGATCCCTTGGGCTTGCTGGGCAGTTTCAGGCCAGTGAGAGATCCTGTCTCAAAAAAAAAAGGGCAGATGGTGCCTAAGGAGCAACATCTGAGATTGGCCTCTGGCCTCCCACATGCACACAAGTGCATGTCCATCGCCCCCAGATGAACACAAATGCACATACACTCATAGACACACACACACACACACACACACACACAAATACCAAATATGTATGAGCATAAAAAGAATCAATTAGCACACTAGTCAGTTCCCTGAAATACCTCTCGGATTAGGAAACCATATAATCTCTTTCTCTGGGCTCCATCTTTATAAATGAAATCCTCACTAAGTCCTTAACAAAACAAATTAACATTATGGCCCTTTGTGCTTGAGTTTAATGTATATATGATATCTCTAAATTGTTTTGTTCTGGCTTTTTTAATAAGCCTCATATATCCCAGGCTATCCTGAAACTATGTAGCAGAGGCTGGCCTTGAACTCCTGATTGCTGAAGCACTAGGATTATGCGAAGGTGCTACCACACCTGACTGAAATATTTACAAGTTTATAGATGAACTCTAATGGCAGGTACCACGGCTTCTACCTCTACAAATGACAGATTGCTGTTTTCAGGAACTGGTTTGTGAACCCATACTATAGGCTGTATGATATTTAAGTTTCACAACTAAGCAAAAAGACAAATAATGCTCATATTCTGACATGCTGACAGTCTACACTCAGGCTACTATAGTACCCACTTTCTTGGTTTCATTGCTTCACCAGTAACTCAGCAACAGACTCATTTCCCAGTTCCCCAGTGCATATACCAGAAGGGAGTGTGCAGAGAGAGGACCCATACCTGGACGGTAGGGCTAAGCACTATAGAGATGTTCTGTATATTCATTTTCGTTTCCAGTTCCTTCGCAATGACGTGATCCATGTGCACAATGAGCCAGGAAATCAGAAGGTGGTTACATTCTGGCAGTTCTTTGAGCAAGCGCTGGAATTCCTGCACTTTTTCCATCTCCATGGTTCTCCCACAAGCCTCTTCGAATCGGGGTATAAGCTCTTTGGTAAGCAAATTCTCTGGAAGGTCTCGCAAATACTGCTTCAACAAACTGGCTACAGTGTTAGGTTCATATTCTTCCAAGTTTGGAGACTCCTCTCTGTCATAGGCTGCTTTTAGCTCATCTACCTTTGATTTGATTCCTTAAAACATTAAATTTAGAAGAGAGAGAATACAAGAAATCAAACATCCTTTCTTCACCACTACAGTACCATGTAGGCCCTCTTGTGTGGATACTGCAGTGGTCCTCAGTTGCAAACAAAGCCCTCCTCGTATGTGCTGCCGTTGCTCAAAGAGCTGGGCCCGTTTGGGGACAGCAACAGAACCAGGAATTCATTCTGAGCCTTGCACTTTGATATCCTCCCCCTCCCCCTCCCCCTCCTCCTCCTCCTCCTGGAGAAATGCAGAAACAACCACCTGACTAGTGGCAACCTCTGGGACACAGGCGTGGTGTCGCACACCTTGATCCCAGTTCAGGAGGCTGAGGCAAGAGGCCTGTTCACACTAAACAAGCACTTCCTGGGAGGATGACTATCTGCAAGAGGGTCTGTGACTTCTCTAAACACAAACACATGAAATCAGAAGTCTTGAAGTAAAAGCTTTATATTCAGCAACCACAAATATATTAGGCAAATATGCTTAATTCAGGAAGAAAAAAATTTAGTATAATGGCAATTAGATAAAAATTCAGGGAAAAATGAAGCTATAAACCAAATGGATGTACCAGTCCTGCTTTTTTCTAACTCCTCCAAAGATACACAACATAAAATGAAGCTCACACACAGCTGTGCCCCCAAAGGTGTAAAGTTGCTTTTTTGTAAGTAAAAATCATTCTGTAGGGGCTGGAGAGATGGCTCAGTGGTTAAGAGCACTTGCTGCTCTTGCAGAGGACTTGGGTTCCCACAAAGCAGTTAACAACTGTCAGTAACTCATACATACATATAGATAAAATACTCGTACACAAAATATATAAACAAAAAGAAGTGTTTCAGTTCTATAAATGTAAAAAAAAGTTACCTATCTAAACAGTTTAAACACATGTCAAATTATTCTCCATCAAATAATCCCCATCAAAGTGAATTAAGTATTTTCTTAATCTGAACAGAGGTAGAACAAAAATAAATAAATCTGTGCTTCTAAAATCAAACTGTCTGACTTTTCTTATTGTATAAAAAACCACCAAAAACCTCTAACACAAAGTTAATTTTTTTCACATTGCATCAGATTTTGAGTCACATGATCAGTGGCAGTGATCAAAGCAACTTTGTGCTTTTTTAATACTCTATAAACTGTAGACCAATTACATGGAACAATCCACAAATTAAGGCTGAAAGTACCTAATGTTAACTGTTACCTTGTCTGAACAACATTGTACAATCAATCAGTTCTGTGCTTGCATTTGGGATCTGACAGGCCTCACCTCATGTGTGAGTCTTTGATGGTATTACAGTAAATGCATACCTTTACCCAGCACTGGCAAAAATCAAACCAACGGTACCAAATATGAAAATAACAGTATGAAATGGCCTTTGAGATAGAAAATAGTGTTTTCTTACTTTAATGGCAGTCTGACTAAAATAAGATGAATAACTTTAACCGAAATTTTTCGCAAAGAGCATTTCTCACTCTCATGTTACATTGTTGGTTTTGCTTTCTGGAAAAGTTTCACTATGTAGCCCAGGCCAGTCTGGAACTCAATCCTCCTGCCTTTGCCTCTGCCTCCCAAGTGCTGGGTTTATAAGTATCTGACTTTCATATGCATATTTGATATACATTTACTTTTCCCCCAATAGACAATTAGAATTATGTGTTTGGTTTGTTGTTACTCTTGAAAGTATTATAAAAATGTTTGCTTTTTAAAAACTGAACACTTCAAATAAGGAATTCCAGGGAAACAAAGGGTATACAGGTGTACTTTAATGTAAGAAATATAATAAAACATAGACAAGTAAAATAAAATATTATACAAAATTGTTTAAATTGTCTTTCATACTGGAACAGATTTTTTAATGAGAACCAGAAAACTTCAGGAAATATTAATATTATTGGCATTCGAACTGCAAAGTCAGGACTGGGGGTGTAGCTCAGTGGTAGAGCATTTACCCAGCATGTGCAAGGCCCTAGGTTCAATCCCCCAAACAGAAAGGTTAAAAAAGGGGAAGGTTGAGCTGGGCGTGGTGGCACACACCTTTAATCCCAGAGACAGACGGATCTCTATGAGTTCCAGGCCAGCTGGGGCTACAGGAGACCCTGTCTCAAAAAAGAAAAAGGAGGGGGGAGTCACGGGCACAGGTATGCTAAGTAGTGCCTGGCTTGCTGACCCAGCACACTGTCACAGGTTAAAAGGCACCTACAAAACTCATCAAAGGACCTCAGATCCAGGAGTCAATGACAGGGAACAATGCAATTTGAATGCTTTAACAAAGAAAAGAAGCATTCTTCAACTCTTAAGCTCCAAAAAAATGCAAATATCAAAAATAGCTCAGAGACAATGAGCTGCAGAGATGGCTCAGCAGTTAAGAGCACTGACTGCTCTTGCAGAGGACCCAGGTTTGATTCCCAGCACCCACAAGGAGGCTACAAATCATCCTTAACTCCAGTTCCAGGGGACTCCAACGCCCTCTTCTGACCTCCATGGCATTTCACAACACGGGTGCACTCATATGCAGGCAATATATTCATACACATAAAGTAAAAATAAATAAAATATACTTTATAAAATAAATCTATGCCAGGCATGGTGGCACAAGCCTTTAATCACAGCACTTGGGAGGCAGAGGCAATCATATCTTTCTGAGTTTGAGGCCAGCCTGGTCTACATAGTGAGTTCTAGGACAGCTGGGGCTACAAGGAGACCCTGTCTCAAAAAGACAAAAAAAAAAAAATCTCTAAACGAAAATGATACTGAACCATGACAGTGAATTATGACAGCATGATGACTGACACTAGACGCTGCTCCTGCTTAGGACTTCATCCCATGTCAGTACAGAAGTCACAGTGTTTTAGGAGAAAGACATCTTTTGTACTGTTAAACAATATCCATGCATCCATGCTGCTTGGCTTTAGATACCCAATATGAAACACAGTCTAGCCAAGCAGGAAATACAAATTTCCATATATACTACATGCAGATAAATGGAAAATCAGTTTCACTGACATCTGCATTACCTGTAGATAGCTGACAAAAGCATTCACATTTGGGGCCTAACTATTTAGAAAATAACATTTCATGTCTTTTAGTCAAGCTCAGGAAATGTATTTCAAGGCTCTGTCATCAGCCATATGTCTTGGCTAAGACACTTCCTTCACAAGCTCTCTGTCCTTCCTCTCTGAGCCTTCCCACAGAGCCTAGACTTAGAAGAACAGGTGAAGCAGGGCTCTACACACAGCCCTGTTAAGTGATGCTACTCACATGTTCCACTTTCCCAGCTGCTGCAAGCTGTAAACAGCTCAGGGGTAAACCTCAATGGAAGGAAACAGCATAAAAAAAAACAAACTGGCAGGAGAAGGGGTCATTCAACTAGAAGGCTCGAGGACATGATTATGAGTAGAATCCAAGCACACTATTCCTCACAAGTTAATAGTCTTTCTTTACTTTAGAAAATGAAAGTGAAGCTAATTTTTAAAAACCACCAAGCAAAATGCATGTCCCAGTACCTGAAACTCTGTAGATGCCTTCACATTTCATGCCATGCTTCTCCATGTAATCTATGCACTCACGGAAGACGGCCGGCAGTGGAACACCATCATACATCATGGTCCGCTCAACTGCATCAGCCAGAGGAATTCCAAAAATAGGCTTGAGACTCGGAATGTCAATCTGAGGCACCTCTGGCTCCTGAATTGGCTTTTTCTTTTTCTTCTTTTCCTTCCACTGTTTAACAACATCAGCTGCTGTCAAGTCTTTTGACTTCTTCTCTTTATGTTTTTCTTCTTTGTGCTTTTCTTCTTTGGGTTTCTCTTTTATTTTAAAATCCTTCTCCTTCTTTTTAGAGAAGCTGGGCTTCTTGAAGACATGGATTCCCTTAGACCGCTTCATCTTGGAGGGACTTTCGGCTTCATCCCCAGAACTATCTTCCTGGAAGGCAGCATAGCCTTCAGCTGCCAAAGGAATGTTAGGGTATAAATTATATGACTTTAATGTCAAATTGTCCCTATGCTCCTATGCTTTCTAAAAAGAGAGCTCTGGCTACTCAGCTTTTCCCTTCCCAGCCACCCCACCTGGGCTCTCCTCCCAGCAAACCAGCTAAACACAAAGTTGTAGTGACATCTGATGACCATAAGAGGGCAACAGACAGCAGTTATCTTTGCAATGTCGTGAAGAGAGGAAAGTAGTTTTATATTCTAGAGTATATATAATGCAAGTGCAGTTCTGTGAACCAGATATGACTCAACACAGAGGACTAGTGGGATGAACCCTATAAAATAGAGCACGTACTTGCCATCTCCCATACCAACTGCTTAGCTGCTCTTTGCCTATTTGTTACCTGTAACTTACAATCACGAAGGATGACATGAACTACACGACTATTTATGTGCTCCAACTGCTCTCCATCACACTTTGCTCTCCTGTCACTAGCCATTAAGTTCTTCCTGGAAACTGCAGCAGGGATGACAGCCTCCTTTGAGTAGAAGGCTGAACAGGATTATTCCCTCATTTTGGCTGATGATAAATTAGAAGGCCCCCTTCCCTACATCAGAAGCTATTTCTGGCATGCTGACAAAGAGCCCAATTGCCTTACCACCATTTCAGATCTGTCAGTTAGCTTCTGTTTCTTTCTTTGCTTTTAGGATGGACTCTCACTGTGTTACCCAGACTGGCTTAAACTGGGCTCAGTGATCCTCTTGCCTCAGCCTCCAGAGGAGTAGGAACTATAGGAATGCACCACTGTACCCAGCTACTCTGTGGTTTTTGTTCCGTTCGGTTCGTTGGTTTTAAGATTTATTCTTTTTTATTACTGTGCACGTGCACGCGTGCGTGCGTGCGTGTGTGTGTGTGTGTGTGTGTGTGTGTGTGTAACTGTATGCCACACGTGTGCGGGTGCTCTTAGAAGGCAGGAGAGAGCATCATATCCCCTGAAGCTGAAGTTACAGGTGGTTGTGAGCCTCCCAACATAGATGCAGCAAGGAACTAACCTCAGACCCTCTGGAAGAACAGCAGGCGCTCTGAGCTGCTGAGCCATCTCTCTAGCCCTACTCTGTTGTTATTTAATAGCCACAACTTTCCTATTCTTTTCAGTACATAACTACCTTACAAGTTCTTTTATAACAAAAATTTGCTACTTTTTCTATCTACTTTTATGTAAATACCTATTTTATGCATTATTTTGAGCAATCATTTAAAAAATGTCTGCTGGAAAACTTTCACCATTTCTGAAAATGTAGTGTCTTTATTTGTGAGGTAAATAAAAACCAAGAACCTGAAAAATAATGAACAAAGAATGTCAAATGAGTTTCTGACTAGATGTATTTCCAGAAGTCAGTTGGCACACACAATCAGAGTTGGACATGTTGGTGCATGCCTGTCATCCAAGCCCTTTAGAGGCTGAGGCAAGAGACCATGAGTTCCAGCCACCCTGGGTCATACAGTAAGGCTGTTTCAAATAAATAATCAGATGAATTATATCAAAAGCACAGGGAAACGGCCGGGTATGGTGGCGCACACCTTTAATCCAGCACTCAGGAGGCAGAGGCAGGCGGATCTCTGTGAGTTCAAGGCCAGCCTGGCCTCCATGGTGAATCCAGGACAGCTGGGGCTACAGGGAGACCCTGTGTCAAAAAGACCACAAAAAAAAAAAGCACAGGGAAAATAATACTTACTCCTTTTTTCCTTCTTCTTAAATTTTCCTTTTTTCTTCCCATGGTCTTTCTCATCATCAGACACTATATCAGGAGGCTCATGGAGGATGTCATGGGGAGGCGAGGGCTCACCCGTGCGATACAAGCCAGGAAATTTTGTAGGGCTGATCTCTTCAGAGCTGGGGGTCCGGGTCAGCCCGCTACCATGCTCAGCCCTGCGGTGTTCACTAGGGCTGCTGGTCGGGGGCAGGAAGCACTCAGTCATGCTGATGCCCTGACAAGAAAGGAAGTGGTCTTCTCTGTCACCTATCCATTACACCTGCATGGACGAAAACAGCAGTCACCACACACTAACCAAGGAATAAAAACACCATGCACACCTAGTAGAGTAATTATCTAACATTTACAGACCCAAAATAGTTTTCTCATAAACCCCACTTTAAAAAGAGTCTCAAGTTATGTTCCAGGTATTAGACATTTCCATTCTCAGAGTTGAAAGCTCTGGGATCTTCGGGTATTAGGAAGGTACAAAAAAATGAAAACCAGAATGCTCTCAAGAGAGAATACAGATTTATGCTGTGAGTGGTGATGCACAACTGTGATCTTAGTGCTTGGAAAGCAAGGTACAAATTTGAGGCCCACTTGAGCTATAAAGCAAGATTCAGGCCATCTTGGGCTACAGATTGAGACCCTGTCTTAAACAAAGTGGTAATAATAAAATACAGAGTTCCTTTTCAAAATAACTCAGCTGCATGCAGATAGTGTTTTCCCATTGTCCCCAACATCCTGAATGCACTTGTAAATACACTTACCTTACTTGAATTGCAGATTCATGTGTTTCCCTGGCTTGAGCAACACAACCCAAAGCATACAAATATTGTTAATATCTACTTACTAAACTATTATCTTCTCTGTTCACAACATGCAGACTCTGATGAAACAAAGAAGATACAAACCTTGCCCTTAGCCTTCAATTCCAACTCAGAGGATAAAAAGGGAGCACTACAGAGGCAGAGGCAGGCAGATCTTTGTGAGTTCAAGGCTAGCCTGGTCATCAGAAGCTATTTCTGGCAGTTCCAGGCCAGCTGGGGCTACAGTGAGACCCTGTCTCAAAAATGTCAAAATAGTAATGATAACAATAAATCTATAAATTAGAAGTCTATAACCTAAAGCTCTACAAAGAACTCTAAATGCTGATTTACCAATGTCTGGTACACTGAACATCAACCATTAAGAACCTAATGTTTGTGAATATTGGGGGGGAGAGTTGGGGGGGGTTGTTTTGGTTTGGTTTTTGTTTTTCTGAAGATACAGCCTTACTCTGTAGACCACAGTGACCTGGAACACAAGGTTAGCCTTCAATTCATGGCAATCATCCTGCCTCAGCCTCCTGGAAACTGAGATTACAGGCATGAGCCACCATGCCCAGTTTGGAAATGTTACAGCTTGTAAGCAGTGTTTGTGTATATAATTCATTCTTGTTCTTTCAAATAAAGTTGAGGGGAGAGGCTGTCCCAGAATGAGACAGTTCAGAAAATAAGGTCACTAAGGGCTCCTTACAGTAGAGATCCCCTTGGGGCTGGGGATTTAGCTCAGTGGTAGAGCACTTGCCTAGCAAGTGCAAGGCCCTGGGTTCAGTCCTCAGCTCCGGGGGCGGGGTGGGGGGAGAAAATAGCAACCCCCAACAAAACATTTTATGAAATTCCAGACAATAGCAACCCCCAACAAAACATTTTATGAAATTCCAGACAATAGCAACCCCCAACAAAACATTTTATGAAATTCCAGAGCACAAAGGGTTTACAAATACTAAAAGTTTCCTGTGGGTAAGGGGGCTGCAGAAATAGTTAATACACAAAAGGTCAGGTCCAATTTGCCAACAAGACACTGGAAGCTTAAAGATATTTTTAAAGTATCTTGAAAATTTTATTAGTTCCTGGGACTGGAGAGATGGCTCCGCAGTTAAGAGCACTGCCTGCTCTTACAGAGGACCTGGGTTTGATTCCCAGCACCCATATGGCAGCTAACTGTCCCTAACTCCAGTTCCAGGGGATGTGATGCCACCTTCTGACCTCCGTGAGCACTGCATGACACAGGCGCACTTACACATATGCAGGCCATCTACTCAAAACATGTAAAATAAAAACAACAAAATTATTTTTGGAAAAAAACTTTGATTAGTTCCAAAAATTATTCAAGAGTATTAGTAAAATAAAGTCATTTTCAAGCAGTCTCAAGAACTATATATAAATGTATGCTTCCCACACATTTTTTCAAGAATCCCTAAAAAAGATAGACAGCCACTTAAGCACTAGGAAGACTTGAGAGTGCAGGCTGGGGGCCCCCAAAAGGAAGTGTCAGAAAAAGCAAGCTTGTGAACAGCTAGTCTGCAGTGACACAGGAGCAGTGGAGCTTAATATCTTAATATACATGTGATGGGGAACTGAAGAGATAGGTCACTGGTTAAGAGCACTGACTGCTCTTGCAGAGGACCCAGCCAGTTCCAGGGGAATCCGAAGCCCTCTTCTGACCTCCTCAGCATTGCACGACACAGGTGCACTCACATACATGCAGGCAATAGACTCATACACATAAAATAAAAGTAATAATAAATTTTAATTTATATATATATAAAAAGCATATGTGATGATGTGGAAAAGAATGGTGTGTCACAGAACTGTTCCCGAATAAATGTGTCATAAGAACAGAGCAAATGAAAATGAGAGACAATTATCACCTCCAAGAGAAAGAAAAGTCAGGAGGAATACAAAGCACAGCCCACTGCTTGATTCTGGATTATACAGGTAAGTTGTCTCCTTACCATAATGAAAACAATGAATGGCAACTTAGTGAAATATGGGGACCTGGTCACAGCAGAGGCCAGAAAGCACAGAACTGGAGGAGGGGTGCCCGAGACATAATCTTCATCTGGCACAATATCTAGTAAACAAATATTTTGAAAACCAGTACTACAAGAAATAGCAATTTAAGAGCTGAGCCTGATAGTACACACCTGTAATCCCAGCTCCCAGCATTCAGGAGTAAAAGCAAGAGAATCAATAGTTCAAGGCCAGCCTGAGCTATGTACATACTACAACCCTGTCTCAAGAGAAATAGCATTATTTAGAGACAAGGAAATAAATACCAAAAGAAAAATTCTATGAATGGAAGGGTGCAAGACTGAGACAGAAAACACTGCTGGTACTGGTACTGCATTTGGGGCCCCAGGATCCCCTGGGCTCAGTGTCCCACTAACTCACATAACTTACATACAGTTGTACTCACAGCTAAAAGTTATTATGGAGAAAGGCGACAAACGGAAATAGCAAAGGATCTTCACAGGGCATGGTTGCACATGTCTTTGATCCCAGCATGCCAAAGACAAAGGTGAGCTGATCTCTGTGAGTTTCAGGCCAGCCAGGGCTACATAGTGAGACCCTGCCTCAAAATAAACAGAAAAGGAAAAGGCGAATGGGGTGAAGACCCAAGGAAATCAGGCAACGAGCTTCCAAGGGTCCTCCAGTTATGTGTCATGTGGGTACATCCCATTCCCCCTATAACCAGGTGCTCAGAGACTCAGAGCTCAAGGTCTTTTCAAAGGCTGAGCCACACAGGTACCCTCTGCCTCAAATATACTAAAATTTGACTCCCAGAAAGACAGCAGGTGCTCCACATAACCCATCTTGTTTGTGCAGTGTAGGAATAGTGCACCACTCTAGCCAGTAGGTAGCATTCCATCACTATAAGGACCCCAGTCTCTTTACAAGTCTGTGTACAGCTTCTCTAGAAGGCCTATCTAAAGATGGCGCCTCGGGTCTGCTGTGGTTAACTCCCTGCACAAGTACCGTGTGGTTTCCTAAACTATCTTTTCAAACCACTTTGATTAGACTTAAAAACAAAAATAAAATCTATGTCTCACAGTAGAAAAACCACGACAAATCCTTTTTAAAATAAAAGAGAAAGGCATTCCTGGAACATAAACATTACTATTCTTTCTTTTTCATATTTATAAGATGAAGCAGGACTAAAATAATCCTTCAGACTGAGCAGATGAAGTTAAGCAAGCCTCATCTCACCAGCTGTGAAATCATTCCCAAGATAACACGTTTAAGTCTTAACAACGATGCTCACTGCACAAGCTAGAACCCACATTTACAGGCTGGAAAACAATTCCTCATGCACATCCCTACAGACCAATCATTAATTCCTTTACCACATAATCCTCTCAAATCTACTAACATAATTTAGGTTATATAGAGATTTTACTGTTACTTGGGTTTTTTTTTTCTGTTCTTATATACCAACACCTTTAATCGTCTATTTAGTTTTTCCTCTACCCCCAGGTGCTTAGCCAAACAAACTTTTAATTAGACGTCTACATGTGACTCACTGAACTAATTTGTTTCCCACACAGCTTCCTAACATTCTGTTACAAATTAAAATAGCATGCCTAACACACAGGTATAATCAGCTTTGAAAAATGTGAAATTCTAAAATTACCTAATAATGGATACCGATGTATACTTTTTCATACTGACAGCAACTATTAAAGGACTAATGAAAAGAAAATAGAAAAAAATAACAAATCACCTTGGAAACCTGTCAGTGTAAAGTTAATCTCAAGAAGATAAATGCTAACGAACACATTATGTCCAGTATTTTATGTGAAAAGTTCAAACTCTGATGGTTAGAATATTAGGTGTTGAAAATGAATAACAGAGCTTATGACAACTAGATAACTCCGGCTACTGCTTACAAGGCAAAGGCCGGGAGGGGAGCAATTCAGTGCTGCAAATCACTGCCAAGACCCAAGAGTATTATGCATCTTAAGAAAAACCCACACTGGACTCTAGGCTTAAAAAAAAAGTGAGCCAGGTGTGGTGCTCACGCTTTTAATTCCAGCACTTAGGAGGCAGAGGCAGGTAGATCTTTATTAGTTCAAGGCCAGCCTGGTCTACATAGGAAGTTCCAGTCCGGCTGGGGCTACAAGGAGACCCTGCCTCAAAAAGATACCCCCTGCCATAAAAAGTGTTATCACTATCAGTCACTCTAAACAGTAAGACAAAAAAGCTTTCTTTGGAAAAAAAAAAAAAAAAAAAAAAAGCAAAAGCAATCAGTGTCTCCAGGTCTAAGCAATAGGGTATTTTTGAAGGAAGGAGGGGAGGCCTCTTCCTTCCTGCACTGTCCTGATCACAACACCTATCACCTACTCTCAAGTAAACCTGAAACTGGGAGAGGGAACTTTAATGTATCACACTACTGACTAAAACAGAACTGGATAAAATTATTTCACTATAGTTTCCCAGCATTGCACCAAAG